AGTTGAGATTCTATATATGTACATTCTATATATGTACATTCTATATATGTACATAGGCATTGGGCGTATTAGAGTGCCGCGGTTGCAATATTTGTAATATCTCCAATGAAGAACATGCCACGGCAGGGATCCGATTCCGACTGCGCAGATGTAAGAGGGTCGAATGGAGTGGCCACTTATCAATAAAAGCACCTTCGCGTTACCTATCGATAAGTAAGTATCAGTATTCAGCAAGTCAGATTTCCATTGTTCGCTATTTTTGGTATATGGAAACCAGTAAGATGTCCGTCAAATTAGCGTCGGTGACTTAGCGGCGCTGGCGGAACGGTGGAATCTGGAACATGGGGCCAATTTTTATTTTTTGTTTTTCTCGGCTTTTTGGGGCCGAACCGAAAAATATTAAATGCAATGTTGTTTAGAATAAAAATATCTATCGATCTAGATAGTTTGCAAACATATCCGACTTCTAGAAATTTATTAAAAATCTATTTAAAAAATCGGGTCCCCACAATTTCGTTTATTGCTCACCTCACAGAGGTTGTACCATTATTCACGGTAAACCTGGTTATTGGGCGTTAATTCAAGTTTCTTGTCAGAAAGTAACATTGAGCTAAAGCCGTCAGTTTTAGAGAAAATAGCTTAACAGTGAAGGCACCTCGGATTTTCCCCATACAAAAAAGGGGGGCAAATAGTAAATTGGACAGGGCTCCACTCTCAGACGTTGTACCAACATGCACGGTATATCGGCAGATTGGGGATCGCCTAAAGCAAGTTCAGTGCAAAATTCATAACGATAAAGCCGTCAGTTTTTGAGAAAATCGCTTTACAGTGGGGGAAGATAATAATTAAAAGAAGTGTCGTCAAATATAAATTTGAACCAGTAAGTTCTAAGACATGAACCACTTTGTAAAAAATGTATTCAGGACACTAACCATATGGCAAAAATGTTGTTTCGACGCTATCTCTATTTGTAATAATTTTGACTTTCACAGACGTTGTACCAACATGCACGGTACCTCGTTGGAAAGGAAATTCATTTTACTAATTAACAAATGCGGTACGGCAAACAAAAAGCCGTCAATTTTTGAGAAAAACGCATGGTGCGTTGTGGGCATCTCATTTGTACCAAAATTTAAGCTAGGAACACATTAACCTTATATCGATACCCTATATCGATACTTCGATAAAAACAAATGCACGAGGCCTGGAGAAGAAATAATTAATATATTTTACTAAAACTCTTAAGATGGGAATTTCTAATAAACTACGGACCCGATTTTAATAAATAATACATCAAATTGATCAGGTGAGCGAGTATAATCGAAGGCATGTCTTTATTTCGTTGAAAATATTATTAAACATAATTTCGTTTTTATATATTATGGCGCCAAGACATTGCCAGAGCGCAAGGGCAGCTCCTTCAAATGCACGTGGGCTGGAGAAGAAATAATTAATATATTTTACTGAAACTCTTAAAATGTGAATTTCTAGTAAACTAGTAAACTACTTTTTCAATAAATAAAATTGATCGGCATGTCTTTAATTCATTAAAAATATTCTTTAACACAAGTCCGTTTTTATCGGACTTTTTTTTTATTTTATTAGTGTATTTTATAAAAAAAAATAATTGTAATGAAAATCGGTGGGAAACAGCATTGTGTAGCTGACCCCGTTTAAGGAACTCAGAATTTGTACAAAATACACGAATTTGTCATACCCTACAAAATATAATATTAAAAAAACTTGATATTTCCCTTAGTGCATCATTACAATTATTTTTTTTTATAAAATACACTAATAAAATAAAAAAAAAAGTCTGATAAAAATGGACTTGTGTTAAAGAATATTTTTAATGAATTAAAGACATGCCTGATCAATTGGATATATTATTTATTGAAATAGTAGTTTACTAGTTTACTAGAAATTCACATTTTAAGAGTTTCAGTAAAATATATTAATTATTTCTTCTCCAGCCCTCGTGCATTTCAAGGAGCTGCCCTTGCGCTCTGGCAATGTCTTGGCGCCATAATATATAAAAACGAAATTACGTTTAATAATATTTTCAACGAAATAAAGACATGCCTTCGATTATACTCGCTCACCTGATCAATTTGGTGTATTATTTATTAAAATCGGGTCCGTAGTTTATTAGAAATTCCCATTTTAAGAGTTTTAGTAAAATATATTAATTATTTCTTCTCCAGGCCTCGTGCATTTGTTTTTATCGAAGTATCGATATAGGGTATCGATATAAGGTTAATGTGTTCCTAGCTTAAATTTTGGTACAAATGAGATGCCCACAACGCACCATGCGTTTTTCTCAAAAATTGACGGCTTTTTGTTTGCCGTACCGCATTTGTTAATTAGTAAAATGAATTTCCTTTCCAACGAGGTACCGTGCATGTTGGTACAACGTCTCTGAAAGTCAAATTAATTAAAAATAGATATAGCGTCGAAACATTATTTTGTTTCCATATGGTTAGTGTCTTGGAAGCTTAGAACAGGGTGAACAATTTTGTTACAAATGAGATGCAAACCACGCATTATGCTTTTTTCTCAACAACTGACGGCTTTTCGTTCGCCGAACCACATTTGTTAATTATTAAAATGAATTTTCTTTCCAACGAGGTACCGTGCATGTTGGTACAACGTCTGTGAAAGTCAAAATTATTACAAATAGAGATAGCGTCGAAACAACATTTTTGCCATATGGTTAGTGTCCTGAATACATTTTTTACAAAGTGGTTCATGTCTTGGAACTTACTGGTTCAAATTTATATTTGACGACACTTCTTTTAATTATTATCTTCCCCCACTGTAAAGCGATTTTCTCAAAAACTGACGGCTTTATCGTTATGAATTTTGCACTGAACTTGCTTTAGGCGATCCCCAATCTGCCAATATACCGTGCATGTTAGTACAACGTCTGAGAGTGGAGCCCTGTGCAATTTACTATTTGCCCCCCTTTTTGTATGGGGAAAATTCGAGGTGCCTTCACTGTTAAGCTATTTTCTCTAAAACTGACGGCTTTAGCTCAATGTTACTTTCTGACAAGAAACTTGAATTAACGCCCAATAACCAGGTTTACCGTGAATAATGGTACAACCTCTGTGAGGTGAGCAATAAACGAAATTGTGGGGACCCGATTTTTTAAAAAGAATTTTAATAAATTTCTAGAAGTCGGATATGTTTGCAAACTATCTAGATCGATAGATATTTTTATTCTAAACAACATTGCATTTAATATTTTTCGGTTCGGCCCCAAAAAGCCGAGAAAAACAAAAAATAAAAATTGGCCCAATGTTCCAGATTCCACCGTTCCGCCAGCGCCGCTAAGTCACCGACGCTAATTTGACGGACATACCAGTAAGCCCGATTTCCATTATTTGGTATTTTTGTGGTACTGCTTACTGTCGGTGAAATCCCACAATAAAGCCTAGTACTCAGATCGACGAAAACCGCGAGCTAACCATAGGAGTGAGCGAGAGGCAAACAGGCGGCTAAAGGTTTTCTTCGGGTCTGTTTTTGAGCGCGGTACTCAGATAAGCTAAGGAAATACCAGACAAAATACCAGATTTCGCGAGTGAATTTTCGATGAACGCCGTTAGCCGCGGCCCAAAGAATAAGAAATTTAATCTTTGGCGGTGTTCGTGCAAAGGCGATGTGGAAACTAAATATTAAAAATGAAAGGAAAACCCCAAAATAGGGTGCAGAAGGTCAGTGCAGATGAAATAGAACGCCTAATCCAAGCTGTTGCCCTTTATTGTGGGATTTCACCGACAGGAAGCAAAACAACAGGGGCAAATCCGCAGAATAGTTGAAGTGCTGGAGGAGATCCACTAGAGAATCCCAGTGGGAAGGAATATGCCGAGTGGGACTTGGCTCTCTGCATGGACATCCTGCCGGGCGTCTCCTCGCAAAGAAAGTGATCTCCGACGACCTCTCCAAAAGTACTCCGTACACCACCACCACCAGCTACTTGGCAGCTTAAGCGGAGCTGAAAGACCCGCTGGCTTCTATAGGGAGGAGAAAAATGGAGCACCCGCTAAGGAACAGTTGGAGAAGCCTTAGCCAGCCACTGCCAGGATGCTGGGCGACTTCCTGCAGCATCAGCGGATCAACCCCGTTCCCAATCCGGCTCCCACTTCCTCAAGGTCCAATATGCCTATTGGGACTCGGAGCTGAACTGCGGTGGAGCGGGAAAGACGGCGCATCATCCGTGGGACCAGAAGGAAGCTTTAATCTACTAATTTAGATAAATAAAAACATTTGTTGAACATTCCATTTATTTTTATTTTTATTTAATTGTGTACCTGCAGACTCCTCCTTTTTAAATTTCAATTTCAAACCCAACTGCTTGACAGTAAGACCATGCTACATGCATTGCGGGTGAACTTTGAAAACTTCGGTCACACTACAAAGAATACGATTTTTCGACTAGTGAAACTCTTAGCCGATCTGAGTACTAGGCTTAAAGGGTAACAGCTTGGATAAGGCGTCCTATTTAATTTGCACTGACCTCCTGCAGTCGATTTTGGGTTTTCACTCCATTTTCAATTTTTAGTTTCCACATCGCCTTTGCACGAACACCGCCTAAGATTAAATTTTCTATTTTTTGGGCCACGGTTAACGGTGTTCATCGAAATTCACTCGCTAAATCTGCTATTAAATAGTCAAATAGTATTTCTTTAAACTGAAATGGTATTTTTTATGCCAGGTAGTATTTTTATCGTTGTCGGCGCGCGGTCACTCTGCAATTAAAACTCTTACTTAGCTCACCTCTAGTAGGGATGCAAAAACATCGATAGTGAGTACATCGATGTTTTCAACATCGATGTTTGTAAGCATCGATATATCGCTAAAACATCGAAATTTCGCGAAAACATCGAAATTTTGCTAAAACCTCGAAATTTCGCTAAAAACATCGAAATTTTCTTCAATTTATGAATATATACCATAAAACCCTCCAAATATTAATTAAAATATTGTTTTTATGAAACTTATTATAAACTTATATTTATTCAAACAAAACAACAACAATATTTTCAGAAACAAATAAAAAAGCATAATCTTAATACATATTTTAACGAAATCATAAAGAAAAATGGAATCACATTATTTCAGTTCAGTTCACTTCAGTTCAGTTCAGTTCAGTTCAGTTCAGTTCTTACTTATCTTACTTATCTAATCGATATCTATATCTTAACTAATAATCCACTGGTTTTTCTGTAAAAACAACAGCATGTTCAAAGTTTTAGGTTTAAGTCGAGATCTCTTTTCGTCCGCGATTTGTCCTGCCTTGCTGAAAGTCCTTTCCGAGTCAGTAGATGTCGCAGGTATACATAAATATTTTAACGCGCACTGCGCAAGATTGCTGAATTGAACTTCATTAACCTGTAAGAAAATAGGGTTATTCAAGAAGAAATGTAAAATATTAAAAAATTTACCCTCCAGTATTCGAGCGGATCTATTTTCTGATGCGCATTCTGTTGCTCGAAATATTGCCGCATTTCGATTATTGCATCGGATCTCCAAGTTCTTGGCTTATTTTTGACTTTTTCGGCCATAAATCCGTACAAATCAGAGGGGTGTGTTTTCTCGGCGGCCGGTTCCTCATTTGGACATTGGTTCTGCACATCTTTGAAGACGAAAGTCAAGTCATTTTCCAACGCTGCTACTGCTTGTTCTGCATTCATCGGATTGTAAAATCCTTCCTTTTTAAATCTTGGATCGAGAATCGTTGTCATCCTCGTAGCAGTTCTAGATTCATAGGGGTAAAGTCTGCTTCTCAACTGATTTGTTAAAAACAAGCAAGTGTCAGCCCCTACACTCGTCTTCATTTGCGGCTTAAGCGTATCCATTTGAATTAAAAGGCCCTGCACTGTGGGTATTATTAAGGATACCGTTACTTTTTTGGCAGCTGACGTATTCACTGTTGCCGTTTCAAATGGCTCTAAAACGGTGCAGATGTCTTGAATGATAGAAAATTGTTCCTCACTTAACGGTAGTGGCGCCTTCAAAGATTTTAGTAATTTTAGTGTATCTCTTAGTGATAACATCGATGTTCGAAAAAAAGCATCGATACATCGCTGTTTTAAAAAACATCGATAGTATCGATAGTGACATCGATGTTTTTGCATCCCTAACCTCTAGTTGCCTATTCAAATCAAAACAAAACCGCATAGCTTTAAACAGGCTTTAAAAGGCTGTAAAATGATAAAATGTCAGTGATGCTCGGGGGAACTACGACTCAATGTCTCCGAAAATTGTAAAAACATCGATGCATCGATGTTTCTCCACCACACATCCATTTTTTCGACAACACAACAATTAAGCCAATCCATGGATCCAGTTGCCATCCGTCCCAGGGCGCCGAGATCGGGAAAGCGCGGGGACCTGCGGCTGATGGCGAAGAAGCCGGGACCAAAGAGGATGTACCACTGCGGTGTTTGCTTGGAGGGATTCTCGCGGCATTTGGCAACTAAGCGACACGAGCAGCAGTGCGAGGCCAAGTTAAGGCGCCTGTTTATCTGCCGGCTCTGCCTGACGCTCTACGGCGAGGAGTCCCGGATGGAGCGGCATCGGGAGAGGAAGCACGCCGACGGCCAGTTTCTGTGCCTACAGTGCGGCAAGCGGTATGCATCCGCTACGTTCCTGTACCGCCATGTGGTCAGCTGGCACGGCGAGCAGTCGCTCTTTTACTGTGGCATGTGCGCAGATAACTGCAATGACGTGAAGACCTTCTGTGGGATGCGGGAGTTGCAGGAGCACGCCGAGGAGGTGCACCACCTTCGCTCCCTGGAGTCGAGTGCCAGCGATACAGGTGAGCCGAGTTCAACCCTGCTTATCAACGTAGGCAGTTTCAAAGGCTATGTTGCTCTAAGACCGTCTAATTGTAATACTGTTTAATAACCCAATCGCTAAAGGCAGCCTGGTCGATGAAACCGAAAACCTGGAAATGCTGGAGGAGAACATCGAGGACATCCTACCCAGCGTCGACTGGGACGACGATCTAACCTTTGGTTGGCCCATGGATCTAGACAAGGAGTCGTGCATTGCGGACGCCAAGCCGAGCGTGTTTGTGTGTCCCTTTTGCGCCAATGGCTTCTCGGGCAGTCTGAGCCTGGTGCGGCATCTGGAGCAGGCTCACGAGCGAAATCTCCTGGACTGCTGCTACTGCGGAAAGAGCCATAGGAGCCGGGAGGCCTTGCGGTGCCACCTGCAACGTGTCCACGTTCTGTTGCGCGGTCATGTATGCGGTGTTTGCCAGGCGGACTTTGCCACCTCCGATCATCTAAAGAAGCACGTAAATAGCCGGCACCTGAACCACCGACCACACCAGTGTCCCACTTGCGGCAAAAGCTTCGCCCAGCGGTGTCATCTTACCCAGCACATGGCCACGGATCGCGGGCATGGGCACGGTAAGTTCGTCTGCCAACTCTGCCTATGGCCGTTCTTTCGTGCCATCGATCTGGAACGGCATGTAAACGAGAAGCATCCCTAGGTGACCAATTAGGACGGACATTCGATGGAAAATAGATTCACCTTTTCAGAAAGCTAGTTGATATTGCTGAAGACATGAAAAGTGAATTTAGTTTATTTTTTTTACAACTACATTTTCAAACATTCGGAAAACATGTTTTTTCTATCTACTTAGCATTCATGATCATTTATTTGACGTTCATTTATAATTCGCTGTGCAGACTTAACAAATGTAATATATGTACAATAAAGATTTAATAGATATTTATCTTAAATATATGTATATATTTTTATATAAAAAAAAGTACTGAAAAGGTTTTATATCTACAGCTCAAATACTAAGAAAAATGTCGAGCCACATTATTGGTGCAGGGTCATTTTAAGGCGCAGGGTATAGCACACAGGAAAATATACTTTAATAACTTTATCAACTTTTGGAAGTTGATATTCATATATGTAACAAGAAGGAACTCTATCGGAATGCCTTGAACATCAGATACATATACTTACTTAGCCTACCAACTTTTAAATAAATGAACACTCGATTAAAGGTGAAAGAACATTAATTTTTGCATTTTACTTGGATAGCTGTCCAGATCAAGGAAGTATGCACTAGCTTAGGTTGGAATCGCTTTCTTTTTTTCCTGTTACATACTTTCCGGCGATTATAAAATACCCCTGTGCTCTACGAGTGACGGGTATAAAAATTACACACAGCACAGCTGTGTTTTTGGTTCAGGTCTATTGGGATTAAATAATATTGATAATACGTTTTTGTTCCTAACATGTCGTATATCGCGTTTTGAAGAATATTTACCTTTATCCACAGTGCATTTTACGTAGTGAACAAGTTTTTTATATAATACAAATAACAAGAAGGGAAGTTAGCTTCGGCAAGCAGAAATTTACTTACCCTTGCAGTTACATTAATTGTCCGATCCATCCTTTGGCAGTTATATGATAAAGTAGTACATTTTTAATTAAATTTAATCTAAAATTCTGAAATAATAAGAAAATGGTGAAAATTCAGCTTTATGATATAGTCGTCCGATTTTTAAAAAATTTTATTCGATTATCTGGAATATTCAAAATAGGACTTCCGACTTACATACTACCTGCTCTAGTTCGCGCAGAAATGATATTGTTTCAAAATAGAATTAGAATAAGAAACGCTTTTTTCACTGACTGAAATCAAAATTCCTTCTGCAAGGTTATAAAAATACTCATGGATGTAATTCATATAATTTTTGCAAAGTAGTAAGTGTTTAATTTTAACGTAACCTATTATGTTTCACTATTCACAACAATTAATTTATAAGTTACATCCTTACATCTATGCAGATATGCTTAGATTAGTCTATATTAACTTTTTTAGTACATAAACTGCAGGTTTTACGTATGTTAAGGTTCTGGTTATAAACAAAGTCATAGGAATTATGTTCACTGCATGTCATACCTTTGAAGTGCCACTCTGCAAGAGTATTGGAAAGTAAGAGCCCCAAGTCTTATGCGTTAACAGTAGATCTCGTACGGCCTCTGTTAACCATCAGCTGATCAGCCGCAGCAGCCCCAGATCGGGAGAGCGCTGAGCGGGTCTGAGAGCGGGAGAGCATAGTGATACGGCCGAGTGTTACTGCTATTGTTATTTGTGATTGCGATAGGGGCAAAGTAACTTGGCCCACACCGACGACACGACAGTTTTGAACGGAACTTGCTGGTGCTTGGATCGCAGTTGGCCGATCTCCGCGAAGCTAACAGTACGCGCTCAAATATTTATCACAAAATACTAAACATTAGTCGTGAATTCTTTTTTTCTTGTTTTCCGTTGCGTATTATCTGATTTTTTTTGGTGATCCCTATATATCGTTTATTCAGAATTTTGTAAAAGTGATATCTTGGTTTTTGGGCAGTGCTTGCATAAAGTAAGTTGTTTTTAAATTGTTTAAACGCGTTCAGTATGCACGAATTGGCAAAAACAAACAAGCCAGCGACCCTCAATTTCGTCTAACATTTAAACTAAAACAGCTTTTTGTTATTGTTTATATGTTTTCCACTTCTGTCCCATTGAAGCCGGGCCTTTAAAAAGCTCTTTATAGCGCATAGCCTTTTGTTTTTTTTTTCAAATAGCTTTCGACCAAAACCAGAACAGAGTTTTATCATTAACAAATGCAAAAAAAAGTACAACTGCAATTAACGTTTTTTGATGTGGCTGTTGAGTTATTCCACTGGGTCTGTGAAAAACCCATGTGAAAAGTGTTGCGCTTGAGTTCCCCCACAGATAAAAACAAAGTCTGTGCCGGGCTTTAATCGATATTCAAATCAAATTGCGTCAAATCGCGTGTGAGTTGCAGATTAATGAATCACTTCACTATTGCATTCAGTAAACACCACCTTTTTATGATGGTTAATATCGGAGTATTATGGATAATGTATGAAATCGTATTTAAAAGCACTTAATTTTTTTCAAGTTTAACCAAATTTCTGTAACAAACTAAACTTTTAAACGCTTAAATGCTTGTTTTTTTTTACATCAATTAAACACGTTGAAAAACGTACTTAAGTCACATGTAACATATTATGAGTTGAATTTGAACAATTGTATTTGATTTTCTTCTGTAAACCCATCACGTTCAACAGCAGGAAAATGCGCTTAAATTTATATTCAAAACGTGTTAAATTTAGAATACATTGTAAAGGTATAATGCCAAGGTATTTAAGAATTATCAAGAAAACCAAAAAGGGAAGCACACGTAGATTTTAAAAATTATTTAAAATGAATAAATAATTTAAACACGGTTTAAATTATACTCACATTCCCAGTCAGTTAATTTTACATTTTTAATAACTTCTCAGAAGTTTGAGGGAGATGTTTTCGATCCTATAAAGTACCATAGATATATTCGTGATCAGCATCACTTCGGCCGACCTTTTCTTCGCAAACTAGTCGCTAATTTTTAGAGCTATCAGGATAAACTTTCCTAAAAGTCTTCTTTCTATTGCAGGCAGTATATATAAAAGTCGGTACGCGCCGGATCGGGCTACTATATCCTATAGCTCCCATAGCAATGATCGGAAAATTAATAGAATTAAAATTCCAGCTTTGTTGTTTTTGATCGTACTACTTCGGGTACAGCTCAGTTTATAATTTCAGAATTTCGAATAAAATTGTTTTTTTAATCGGACGATATACTTGTCAAAAGATATAAAGCTGTCATAGGAACGATAGAAAAATTAATGCGAAAATAATAGGCAAATAATTCTAGCTTCGTTGTTTTTTATCATATTCTCCACTACTCTGGTGTATATCATTATTTTAAGAAATCGGAAGACTATATCATACAGCTTTTATAGAAGTCCTTACTTGTTAATATTTGAAACGGCTATCGTTAACTCGCATTCCAGACGATATGTCTCTGTTAACCCGAACCCTTTGGGGGGCCTTAAATCCATAATTTATATTGTAGAGCCCATTGCCCTCCTGTCGCCCTAACTTTTGCCCTTTGTGGTTTGTTGTGATGCTCCACATCAACATCATTCCATGGTCGCAGTGGAATTATTATCATGTCTTTATTGTAATTGATTTGCCTGAGCGAATAGCCAGACGGGGAGACAAGCTTTGCGACTCTTCCCTGATCTGCCACGCCCTCGCCACCCCTACCGCCCCTTGACTGAGGCATAAACGCTTTTCCTTTTGTTCTGCAACTCCTACGGGGAGCAATTGACTGGTGGGGCACTCCCTTTTATTAATTGTGGACCGCCTATGCTGGGATCTCGATCCTGAGATGATTCCTTTCGATATCTCGCTTTTTCTCCCCTGATATTATTATATCATATTCCATATCTTTGTCTGACGCACCGGAAAGCAATGCCTCGAAAGTGAGAGAATAAAGACTGCTACACCTGCGTAAACTAAGTTAAGAGCTTTGAGGGGAATTCTAAGGTACACATAGCTAGTTAAATATGAATTTATTAGGACGTGATATTCGTAGATGTTTCTGATTATCTTATATATTTTATTAAATTACCCCCTGTGTATTACAAAATTAGTAAAAAGAGTTACAAAGGCCTGTTCTGTTCCACATTTATAATTTTAAACAAGCTGAATTTTGTAATCTGTACGCAGTCGATGTCTCGCTCTCTCTTTCCCTCCCCGTATTCCTGTCCCCTTCTATGAATCTGCAATATCTGGGCTGACGAAATGCTTCAGTAGCAATACTGATAACACTTGGCTAGACGTGCAATGTTAACCGTTAAAGCGGGTTAAAGAGGCCTTCGATGTGACAGTTTATATTACATAAGTTGTCACTAGTTGAAATTTAGATCTATACATCAATTCTGATTAAGAAATATCAATAATTCTGGCTCTTTCTTCAACAAAGTCTAAAATTACTTGCCTATTTTTCAACTATTTTTAAAGTTTCTAAAGAACTTAGAAGAACTTACATAATTTTTTTTTAAAGCCAATTTTAGAAAAGGAAAAACTTTTGATCATTATTACAGGCCTTTTATAGATCGAAGAATTTTCAATATTTTAGATGTACATCTTTTTGTTGTAAAATACTTTTAATGCGAACGCATGCGTACATATGTACATATGTATATTGTGTTAATCAATTCATATCAGCGTTACTTAAAATTTAAGCTTGTGCAGCAGCCTCAAATAAAGAAACAGAAAACAACAACAACAACAACAGGGCAAAGGAATGTCAAGATGAATCACACAGGTGTGCGTGACACCTGGCAACAGAGAGACAGAGAGAGCAAGAGAGAGAGCGCAAAAGAGCAGGAGAAAAAATAATAAGTAAGAAACAATAACAACTGTTGGTATGGCATATCAATCGGCATTTGCTTAACTGTTAAAAGAGTCAAGAAAAGGGGGAAAAATAAGAAAACCAGACGGAAAAACAGTGATAGCAGATGTATAGTGTGTACACCTAAAAAACAAGTGCAGAAACATACACAAATTAAAAACAAGCGCAAACTCCTCTGGTCCCGTTACAAAACGAGCTTAAAGCTATTTTTAACACCATCCGATCTGTCGCTCCTTCCTCTTTCTCCCCCACTTTCTGCTATCTCCTTTCCTGTGTTGTTGTTTGCACTACTCTCTTCTCACTTTACTCTTCTTTGGGTTCCCTTAAAACACAGCAAGAAATAAGGATGGTTTTGGAATGCACATATTTCTCAATAACATCACAATTTTCATCTATTGGTTGTCCAGGGATGTTATTACGATAAAATACATAGGCTTTTGTAAGCATAAGTTGCGACTTTACGT